TAAAAAAAAGAATGTTATATGAATGGAATCATATAGTATGTAACCTCCTGAGATTGGCTTTTTTTTCACCCAGCATAATTCTATGGAGATTTATTCAATTTATTGCATGCACCAACTGTTAGTTTCTTTTTATAGTTAAAAAAAGCCCATTACACACAATGTATAAAGATATAATTTTGTAACATAAACAACTGAAAGAGGTGAGAACAGCGCTGTTAAAGGAGCAAAGTTTTTGTATGTTATTGAAAGTAAACTGGTATAAATTCAAGTTAGAGTATTACAACTTTAGGATGTTAAATGGAATCCCCATGGTAACCACAAAGAAAATAGCTAAAGAATATACACAGAAGGAAATGAGAAAGGAATGTAAATGTTTCACTACAAAAAGTAATGCAAAAGATAGTAAATGCAGGAAGTGAGGAACAAAAAACTATAAGGGAAATAGAGACAACAAAATCACAACAGACTGCTAAACAACCATTAGCAAAAAAGAAAACTGGAACCTAGCGAAAAAGGTCATCTTAAACTGGAAACGAAAAGGGAACCACAGTGGGATGGGGCATGCTCCTGATATAATCAGTATAATCCAGCCCCATATCCCCAGGATGGGGGGCAAGCGACCGACAAGCTGAAGGATAATTAAGTCACAGAGGCCCTCCCACAGGAGTGAGAATTCTAAGCCCCACGTCAGGCTTCCCAGCCCAGGTTCTGGCATTGGAAGGAGGAGGAGATCCCCAAGACATCTGGTTTTGAAGGCCAGTGGGGCTTAATTCCAGGAGCCCCTTGAGACTGGGGGAAATAGACTTCATTCTCTTGGGAAGCATACACAGAATTTCACGTGCGCCAGGTCCAAGGGCAGAGGCAGTGATTTCATAGGAACCTGGGCCAGACCTGCCTGCTGGTTTTGGAGGGTCTCCTGGGGAGGTAGGGAATGGCTGCAGCTCACCCAGGGTACACAAAATGCTGGTGGTGGACATACCGAGAGTATTCAACTACATGAGGCTGACATCTTGACTGGTTCATTAGCACCCACCCAACAGCTTGTAGGATTAAGGGCTGGGAAGCCTCAGGCCAAACAACATACTGAGTGGAAACACAGCCCCACCCATCAGCTGACTTTTGGAGCCACAAAGGCCTCTACCCACCAGAGGTCCAGGACCAAGCTTCACCCAGCAGTGGGCAGGCACCAAATCCTCCAGCCAGGAAACCTGCATGGGCTTCTAGTCCAGCCTCATCCATCAGGAGGCAGATAGCAGAAATAAGAAAACAACAATCCCAAAGCCTGTGGAAGGATTCCACAAACACAGGCCACACACTACTTTTACTACTTGGGAAGCTATGTCACCCATCCTAGCATCTAGGTACTTGGCTTTGAAATCTTGCTGTAAAGTCGCTGGTGCACTCTCTCCTCACATGCATGTCCCTGCAGGCCCTAGTAATTTTCTACTTTTGTCCCTTTAGGGGATTTCTGAGGGCAGTCCACTGGACCACTGCCATGCAACAGTGTTACTGTCGGCCAGTGCTGGTCCCTGAATGTCTGTTATATTTCTGCAATGAAGTAAGTACTGAAATTAAGTGTTTAGAAACCTTTGTAGAAATTTAACATTTATGTGACATCCAAGCACACAATAAGTTTGTTTTACAAAAGTACTGGTTCATGAGGGATTAGAAATTTTTATGAAAACTCAAAACTAATACCAGTCCTTTGCTGCAGGCAGTGATGCTGGCGATTGCAGTTCAGGACCATGGACAGCACCTCTTTCTGCCTCCCCAGCCCTGAGCGATCACCCCTGCTCCCAGCTCCTGGTGAATGGCCTTGGTTGACAACTACTTCCAAATCCAACAGATGCTTTTCAGCCCTTGTCTTAATTGACCTTTCTGAAGTGTTTGCCTTTGCTAACACATGCATCTGTCATTTTTGTTTAAAGACCATTCCCAAAGAAGGAATAAAAATGTCCCCCTAGAATTTAGCGGTGTGCCACACCGTTAAAATGAAGGGACAATTCCTGGTAGCTAAACATATTATTAAAACACTGTATTGATATTGCTTCTTTGCTTTTCAGCGGTCTCTTAGAGGGCAGGAGACAAGTCTTATTCATCTTCGTGTCCAACATGTATTGTAAGCCAGAGTTTGTAAACCCAGAGTAAATGCCTTTCACTTGTCAGCTGGATGACCTTGGGCAAGTTATTACTTAACTTCTCCTTGCCGCTGCTTCCCCAGATGTTAAACTAGAATCCCATTAGAGTCCACCTTATAGAGTTTCTAAAATATTAATTCAGTTAATACATTTAAGAGTGCTTAGAACAGTGTCTGGCATAGAAGAATTAAAAGTATTATTATTTTCATCCTCAATATTTTATATTGCTGAATAAAACAATGAGCATCTATTATCATCAGACACTAGATGGTGTAGGTCTTCATCCCACCACCTGGCTAGGGCTCCTGCTGTATATTGACAGTAGTTTGAATCTACACTGTCCTACTCAAGGCACCGTGAACTTTGGAATTCCTGAGATTTGCTTTTCCTGGGTCCCATCCTGTTATATTGACCGCACTCTCCCATCCCACCCCTTTCAGTTGTGTATCACCTTTTCTTTTCCAGTTGGATTCCTGCCACCTTCTGTCACCCTCCAGTCTCACTCACAATCTCTTATGTTCACACTGGATGAAGGGTCCCACCTGTACAAGTGAGCCTGGCAGCCCCTGCCCCCCTCAGTGATTCAGCCCAATTTACCTCCTCCTCCCTTCCTGTTCCCATAATCTTTCTCCCCCCAGTCCTTTAACTGGCCTACTGGCTGCTAGGCACTTCCAGGTCCCTCCACCAAAATGTCCTTGCTCCCCCGTTGCTCAGGGAGATTTTAACCATCTTTCAGAGCTTGAATCAAATTTATCCCTTCCATAAAAGCCATGGTATTTTTCCCTCCCTTTCCTGAACTACTACGTCAGCCTCTGAACCCTAGAGGGCTTCTCTGCAGTTCTCATTCCGTCTCACCTACATCAGTTCTATGCTCCTCGAGGTTCAGGTCCAGGTCATAAACTTCCCACCTGCCCACACTCTCAACACCCATCTCGGCAGCCGCTCTGCAAGTTTCAGAGGGCAAGCCCTTTTCTCTCTCTGAGGCTATTACTCCCACCAGCAGGATGGGGCTAAGAGTACCTGGCTCCCTAGATTTTATTAAGCGAGGAGGGGCAGGGAAAGCGCTCGAGAGAGCCTCATTAGTTGGGTGGGGGCTCCCGTGGCCCTTCAGCAGCGCGGGTCCGCGGGAATGCGCCTGGGGCGGAGCCGCGCGGGGCCTCCTGGGAGTTGTAGTCCGTGCCGGAGTTCGCAGTCTCCGCAGGTCCCGCACGGAGGTGGCAGGCTCGCCCGGGAAGGTGGCGGGGGCCTGCGGGGTGCAAGGCGCTGGGCCCGGCGCCGGCCCCCGGCGGCGATGGAACCGAATACGGGCAGCGGGACTGACGCTGCCACTGCTGCTGGGCCAGCTGCTGGCACTGACCGGCGGCGGGGGCGCGTTCTACCTCGAGGTCCGCGAGCTGGAGGAGAAATGCTTCATTCAGGAGATCCCCGATGGCACCATGGTCATAGGTGCGCGCGCAGCCAGTCTCGGCCTTGCCCTCCCCTCGCCCAGAGTCCTGAGTGGGGATGGGGGATGGAGATCCGCGAGATCAGCTCAGGCCCGCACCTCCCCTCTGCTGTCGGGGATGGGCTTGGGTGGGAAATGGGTGCACAGGAGTGTAACCAAAGCATTCTCTCCCTTGCCTGTGCTGAGTGGAGCTGGGGGCACAGAGGAGACAAGTCTGATCCAGATCCGGATGACAGCAGAAAAGCGGGGCTGGAGAGTGGAAGAGAGAGGCTGAGGACTGGGGTCAGGCCCCCGCAGTGAGATGCCTGGATCTTCCTGTTCCTCCCTACCCCTACCCCCAACCCCTTCCCTGGCCCTCTGTGACTCCAGGAGGTCCTGAGCAGAAAGCGGTGCGGGGTTTGGTCATGGGTGTGGATGGGGCTGCATCCAGTCTACCTCTCCATTAGGTAACTACAAGACAGAGCTATACGACCCTGCTATGGAAAAGTACCAGCCCTCCCCTCAATGGATCAATTTGTTCGTGTTTGTGAAGGACCCTGAGAACAAGGTGAGGTGGACCTGGACTCCTTGCCGCCCCCGGGGCCTCCAGCATCAATGCCTAGTCCTCTCTAGTTCTCCACTTCTCAGAGGAGGGCCCGTCTCCTCACAGGCAGAAAAGCTGAAGGAAGGCCATGCTCTCTGCAAACTGTAGAGCATCCTGCATTGGCCATCCTGGGATCTGAGACTTTCTATTCCACTGATGCCATTTCTCTTACACCCTCCCCGCTGGGCTGGCCTGTGGAGGTCAGGACCTGGGATACCCCCAGAGTTCCTCTCCTAGAAGTAAGTTTCCGATAAGCTTCTCTGTGCTCACTGGAGGCTGCTTCCTCTAGAACCTGCTGTCCCGTCAGTACGGCCCTCAGGGCAGCTTCACCTTCACCTCCCAGTCCCCTGGAGAGCACCAGATCTGCCTTCACCTCGAGTCCATCCGGTTCGCCCTCTTCTATGGTAGTAAGCTGGTGAGTGTGGCAAGGGGAGGTCCACTGACCTGGGGAGCTCAAGGTCTCAGTCCCTGGGGTGGGAAGGTTGCAGTGGGTGGTGCCTCTTGAGGAGGGCTGGGCTTTCTATGAAAGACAGCTCCTGAAGGATGAGAGGGGAACCAGGATGGAGTCACTCTGTCTTAAAATCCTCCCTTAGCTCCCTGACATCCCAGCATAAGGACCAATGTGAAATTTAGAGCTGTTCAGCAGCAGAATGCTCCCAGGCTCTTCATTGCCACCTCCCACTGACACAGAACTAGCAGCTGCCTGCCTCAAACACTGAGTCATACCTCTGTTTCTTTGCACATTTGGTCCTGTCCCTTCTGTCTTTTGGACGTGGACTTGATCTGGGGTTTTGATACCCAGAGCAGGGCTAGTCCCCGCCTCAGTGAGTGTGAGGAACTGAACTGCCCACTTTAGTTCAATGTCAGGCCCAGACTGGGGTGTGGAAGCTGGGTTTCTGCAGGTGCATATAGCTGAGCTTCCTGACCCCCATCCTTGGTTCCCCTGCTCCCCAGGCCATTCACTTGGACATGCAGTTGGGTGAACGCACCAATGATTATACAGAATTTGCGGCCAATGACAAGATGACTCTGCTGCAACTGTGCATACAGCAGCTGGTAGAACAGGTGGAGAAGATCCAGAAGGAGCAGGAGCACCAGAGGGTAAGGGGTGGGCTGGCCCAGTTGAGACAGAGAGGATGTGTAACCTCCCAGGGACTGGCTCTTCCGGCTCCTCCTCTGGGGGGCGGGGATTCATCTCTAGCCGGGCGCCTTTTCCGTTCTCCCCTCCCAGTGGCGAGAGGAGCGCTTCCGGCAAACCAGCGAGAGCACCAACCAGCGGGTACTGTGGTGGTCCATTCTGCAGACCCTCATCCTCGTGGCCACTGGCGTCTGGCAGATGCTGCACCTCAAGAGCTTCTTTAAAGCCAAGAAGCTGGTGTAGATGGGCCCCAGAGACCAGAGGCCTCGCCCAACTCACTCCCCTTCCGCTGGCTGATGGGAAGTGGCCTGGCCCAGCCTGTCTCTTGGCTTCTCCCTCCCCTCCCAACCCTGAGGGACTTCCTTGTTACTGCAGGGGGACAGAGGACCTCTTTAATTTGGTTTCTCATTAAGAACTAGGGAGAGGATGGGTTCCAGCTGGAGACACTTGGGTGGGAGGAGCTGTAGGCT